GTGATAGCCATGTCGCAGTGGTATCAAAAATTACTAAATTCCTCACAAAAACATGCAGTTCAGGGAGCAACTTAGGTCATATCTCACAAGGATGCAATTGCACATTACTCTAATCTCAATTATGCATGAAAGGTTGTATGTTTGGGGTTTAAATGCAGAAACTGAATTACAAAATTAAAATGCAAAAAATGAAATTACAGAGAATGAAATCGCAGAGAATTAAAATGCAGAAAACGAAATTGCACAGAATTGGAACCGAAAGTTAAAATGAAATCCAAAGCACAAAAATCCAAAACTAAGATTGAATGAAAATCGAATTTGTTTAAATCTCTTCTGCACAACAAACAATTAATCAATTGATTGTTATACGATTAAGAACAATGCACAATTCAATCGAACAATGCTTCTATACAATCGTAAAAATGTGAGATCGGAAAACAAACTCGGAGCATCAAAAACGTCTTGAACAAATGCGATCTGGACTTTGGCAATGAAATTGAAGGGAGAACATAGCAGAAATCATCTTGATTTTGTAGAATCTTAAACGTCTTTCAGTTGTAATTGCAAAGGTATACGAATTCAAAATGGAAAAATGCAAGAAAAGAAGAAGAATGGTAAAAAATATGAGAGATTCTATTAGAAGCGGGAAAGATATTACAAACTGAAAAATGAAAAAATGAATCAAAAGTCCTCCCCAATCAGCCCCTGATCTCTATAAATACTAATCCTAAAAGAGCAAAAACTGAGTGGGCCAAAGTTGGGCCGAAATTAAATACAAACGAACTGCAAAACAAAAGCAAAATAAAAACTATACAATAGTCAACTAAAAGTCTAAACTTCTAAAATTCGTAGAAAATAGCTTCGTACTCCAAACAGCACGATCCAAATATCCAAATTAAAGCCCCGAAAGTAAGGAATCCAATGCAAAAAGAATCAGCCAAAAAGAATACCTACAGAAAAAGTTATGGTCAAATTAGTAACCAAAGGTCAGAATAGAAAATATGAACAAAAGTATAGTATTTACGAAAATTCCTAATTATCAAGATAAATGCAAAAAAACATATTAAATGGAAGAAATAAGGGAATGAAAAGTCATGCAAAGGATGCAATAACACTACAAATGTGGGAACAAAATATGAGCTATCAGATGGTTATTCTTAATACTTTGGATTATTTAGGAACTTCTTAATTATATTTGATTTCCAAATGTCATACACACCCGCAAATGTAGTGTAGTGGTAGAAGTTCTAGTCCTTACTGTTTTTTCAATTTTTTCGGCAAGCATTGGCCCAAAACTGCCACTACTCATCACCAAAGAGTGAACCCCTTTCCCTCTCCACGCAAGAAAGAACAAACTTTTCACTTTCTCTCCTCTTAGAAACTAAGCTGCGACTTTGTTGCACCAAATAGTTGCTCCCATTCTTGCATGTTGAAGAGGTGAGTGTTGATTTCCTTTTTGGACATTGAAACAAGGTTTCCATCTTTCACATGTACTTTTAACTTCCTTACTAGTTAACTGGAAACATTTTTTTCCTTTACCGGATTAGAAGTGACTGTTGGTGTCCTATGAAAAGTGAGAAAGTGCTTAAGTGCTTTCTATATATGAGAAAAACATATGTAACTAATTATAAGTGCCAAACAATAAGGTATGTAATTCAATTTAATCAAAATAGAATTCATGACAAGTACTTGACCTTCAATAGTTCATATTTCACAAATTTATGACACTCAACCAAATTAAGTGTAATAGTGGTATACTTGTCCAAAATGGACTTGGGATGGATCTTTAGGATGTTGTGACTTAAAAGAACACTTGCAATATTAGTTAACCTACACTTTTGGAGTTTAGATTTTTCTAGAAATTCCAAGCAAGGCTTTTGTCTTACAACAAAGCCTAAAACTGAGATACTCACAAAGTTTAGAACATTAGTGGACGAGTCAGTATCCAAATTGAGTCCAACTGGTCTTCTTTGAAAGCTAACGTCTTAAGGGTTCCAAAGATGTTCCCACATGATTTTTCCCACGTGTGGATCAATTCTAGTATTCAATTGTGCAAAACAATCTTTGTCAAAGTTTAAAGAGAATGCGCTTACTTGTTCTTGTTCTTTGCAATGACAAATGAGGTCCAAAACAAGTTCATAGTTTGTTAGAAAGTTGATAATACAAGGAACATAGAAATATAGTTAGTCAATAATGTTCCATGCATGGGTTTTGCTAGAATTTGAAAGGAAAGTTGCTACACCATGCGATTTCATTAATACATTTTTTTTGTAAAGTTTAGTATCAGGCAACACAGTTTTGACGCTGTAAGTAAGGGAAATGATATCCAAATTTGATTTGAAAGCTAACATTATACGAATCATGAAAATATCTTTAAAATAAATTTTCATGTATGCATAAGATGCAAACTAGCAATTATGTATAACAATTTTTCTATTATCATAGGGTAGGTGACTGACTAGTGTCTATTTTGTGCATGATTTTGAAGGATCAACTGAGCTTCAAATCATGCATAAAATGACTTTGCTAGAAAGGTTGTTTCTTGAGGATAATTGCATCTAACATGACAATAGGGGCAATATTGGAATTATTGATAGTAATAATTGTTAAAATAACATTTCGTGTAAACATATTAGTTTGATTAACATTATTATAATCCCATCTCTCAGCCCCTATACTAAATGTCATGCATTGATTCGGGACAACGGTACACTTCCACAATTCATTTTGCATCCATAACAAAGTTACAAAATAAGGGAAAAGTGAGTATAAGCATTCATAAATTATTTCAAAAGGCGAACGCTAAATGTTGAAAGAATTCATCAACTAACAATCAAACATTTCAATGTCTTTTAACTATACTTTCTCCATGGAGTAATTAATTATCTATCTCTTTAATTATTAGTTGAAGATTGAGAGTTTTGTGCCTGTGATTCGAATAGTGTTATAGGCACATCATCCCTTATTGGAAACACAATTATGGTCACTTCTAACGGTTCACACTCATTAATTATAGGATGCTTAGTCAGGATAGTTCAGTATGGTTTCCCTATCTACAACATAAGTTAGATAGACTTGGTCCTTTTCAGTACTTGTATACTTTACTATCCTCATTGGTAGATACTTTAACTAATCACTTCTCGCTTCATATTTGTACCTAACCTTTTCAACCACTTTCATTGTGAAATTAATTCATAATTAGAACATTAATCACAATACCATTTAATCCACATGGTACAAATTTAACATCAACACGTATCCTTTATTCAAGATAGCAATTCATTATTATGGACATGGTTGTTATTAGATATTCTAGATTTTATGCATCAACTTAAGAAAATTCATAATTTATTCAACACTAAAAATCATGAAATCAGTAATGTTATCTTTCTTTAAGTGTCTATTCTCATGAAAAAAAAAAACACTAACTAAACACAAACAAATTTCAATATGAGTCACAATTTCTTTTTGCAAGTTACAAAATATTATATTTTATATCAATTTCATAGAAAAATCATACTTATTCATTTCAAATCTAAAAATTGTAAAATCAGTGTGGTTTTTATTCTTTCAGTATCTACTTTCAAGAAAAAAAATACCTATACATATTTGATACTCACAGAATACTCTCTAAAATAAATTTAGTCCATAAAATTTAATATTAGTGTCTTTTTGAAAAAAATGAGAGTATTTTTCTTTCATCTATTCCTCAAGTTCTCATGAGTTGCTTAATTCTTTAATCTTCAATTCTTGTACTTCATATCACTTCTTAAGTTGTAGTATAAGTTCATGTTTATTTATTTATATCAAGATATTCAATTATTTATTTAATTGTTATTATTCTTTTTCAATCCTATAAAATACAATTTGGTCATTTTATATTAATTTCTAATCTTATACAACTTAATTTAAAATGATTTTATAATAGTTTATTATTAATAAAAATATTAAAAACAAATACAATCATGCATTAGTGATTGAATGTGAAGTCTAATTTTAAAAACATTGCTTAATTTTAGTTAATAAGTCTATTCCTAACATATTGCTTCAAATAACTTTTGCACCGAAGCAAGTTCCGACATTGAATTCGTATTTTTATCACCCTTGAAACCTACGTTTGAGTGTTTTGTAACGTAGCCACAATAGTTATTGAAGATTCAATCCATAGCAGCTGAGCATTATATCAGTTTAAAGTTAATCAGGAAATTATGTACCGGTTAGGGTTACTTTTGTGATGATAGCAAACATGCCGTTTGTGGCGTCATGCAATCTATTATAAATTTAACTTTATTTAAACTATTAAAATAGCATATTGTATATAATATAATATTTTATTTTTGCTTATTTTTATCTTTTCTAATACATAACACATTCTAAAATAAATTTGGTATACAAAATAAATACATAAAGTTCGGTGTCCTCCTGACTGCACAGTGGTACAAAAAAAATTTCTCGAGTTGAATATCATCTTATGAGCTGTCCCAAAGCTCTTCTTAATCTTATATACAATCTTACCATTTCAAATTTGAGAAGTACAAAAGTTTTTATTGGTCGAGACGTTTGTAAAATATGATCAAAACTCTAGATCGTGCAAAAACAATAACAAAATCTTCCAACTCAAAAGGCCAAATGTTGGAATACTATTCTCAACTTGGCAAAGGTTGGTCTTCAGTTATCATTCTCCCACTATGGTCCACACGGTGGTGAATATAACTTGCAAGCATTAACATTCTATGGATTGCAACATCGCCAATTCGTTCGCCCCCACCAAGTTAAGTCATGAGTACTTTCTAGACCCTTAATTTAAGGCACAAAAATGGTTGAACAGTTCACACAACATTAATGTTCTCATTTAAAATGAAATAGAAATGTCAAACAGGTAAGCTTTTAATCCACATATCGTCTCTTTCCATGAAAGAAAATAAGATCGGGAGAAAAATAATAACAATCTTATCTCACTACTCCCAAAAAAATAAAATAAAGTCAATACACGGCCATAAAATTTTTTTTTTTCTGATATTGAATTTTGTACAAGCCACAAACTCTTAGATATAGGAATCAAAAGTGTTGTTTATAGATATGAATCTACCACATCTCTCTTTAATCTAAATAAAAATTCAAAGAGCATCATGCCAATTCATGCATAAGATGATTAATATATGAAATTCTACCACTAATTAACGTACCTACACTGCTCTGCCTCCTCTACAATAATTCTTCCAATATTTTTCACCTTGACCAAATGGGTTCCTCGTTTATAGTTTCCAACACAGGCTTCCTTGACCTACAATAACTTGGCCTATTCCGAACCCCTAACTCATCAAGCCCTTCAAAACTCAACCTTGGAACATCAACATGATTATTATTGATTTCAACACCCTCCGAATGATCATGGGACCTTACGCGGCCACCGGATATCCGCTTCGCCGCCATATTTGCCGCCATGAAGAGTGCCGCCACGTCAGCAGCGGTGACCAAAGAATTCACCCTTGTCATGGGGAAGAAGATGTAAACGTTGCTTAACTCCAACTCTTCATCGGCACCAAGCGCTGAAAACCTGCGTCCAATGTGTAGGGACTTGGAATTGGTTAAGAAGTGAGTGGGACACTCCATCATCAGCTCTGCCGCATTCACTTGCTCCTTGTATTGTTTCACTTCACCTGTGGGGAAGATCACCCGTGTTGCCCTTGTGTTCTTCATCAAAGGAGGAGCCAAGGTGCAAGACATGTAATTTCCCATAAGTTTCCTAGGAAGAGAAAATCTGTGAACTTGGGAGAGATTGACCAGAGTTAAAGCTCTATGAAGGAATAGGAAATGTAACTGTTTTTAGTTCATTGTGAGGATGTATATATACACACACACTGAGTGATAAATTTATTTTTATATAAATATAAGATGCATGTGTTAATTTTTTAATTTTTATTATCTATGATAAAATGTAATAGTTAAGTTTTGTACGTGTTAAAGTAGTGAGTTATATATGCATAAAACAAGCATTTAGTAAATTTTATATGATAAATGTTATTTAATAAAATTAAAATTACTGTTTAAAATTTTGAAGTGAATTTCTATAACTGATTTATGTTAGAATTTCGACTACAAAGAATGTTTGATGGAGTAGACAAAAACGTTGGAATTTCAGTTTTTGATGAAATATGATGAGCGGGGGTGATGTGTGTTGACTTGTCGTGGTTAGGTTTTGTGGTGCGCACTGCGGAATGTGTAGTTCGAAAACGCGCGTTGGGTGGAAAGAATTGGAGAAAAGTGGCGAAGGTGCAATGTTCATGTTTCAGGCGATGGTTGCACATCGTTTTTAGTTGTCACGACTTGCGGACATGAAATTTTGCTGTAAATGCGCGTGGGACCAACCAATAAATTGCAATTTCAAGCTTAGGTGTGGTGACGATTTTCCCCATGTCTGTTTCACCCCTTTGCCAATGATCAATTTTTCTTTTTCTTATTATTATTATTTTTTACAATTAGCACTATCTTAATTTAGTACGATAGACGATATTCTTGGCCAAAAAAATTGGTACGATAAACCTTGTTTTATTTTGATCTTCGCAAAGTGACAGTCATTACCTAATCGTAATGATTGTTATTTTTTATTTTCTTTTCATTTTTTTGTTTCAGGGGAACCTTATTTTTCATTAAAATTTTTTAAGCAAATTATGTAATCACTTCTTTTCGCTTAAAGTATTAGGGTCGAGTTCAACAGTAAAAAATGTTATTTTTTACAAAATTTATAGAAAGATTATCACAATAATAATTACATAATAAATTTGTTTAATATTAGTTTCTAAGGTTAATTTTAATTAAGACTAAACGTTTCTTGTATATATATATAAGATATTTTATAAAATATGTAAAATAGAGCAAACAAAATGAGTTTGTCTTGGTAAGAAACCTAAACCAATTTAATAAAATGTAAAATTTAGATTAAGCTTGATGCAAGGAAAGTTTTAAAAAAAATTAAGACTTAAGTCATGTTTAAAAAAATTAAAGCTTTATATCTCTATTGTTTGCAATAAGTTGAATAACTTATTTAGTCAATTTTAATATAAAAGTAACGAATTAAAATTTTAATAATTAATTTATCTAACTATCGCTTTTTTTATTTATTATTTATCTTAGATTGGTAATAAATTTATTCAAATGGTTTGTGGGATTAAAGCATATGTAAACAATTTGGTTTTACAAAAGACTAATTTCATCTCACCAAAATTTTCATATGACTAATTTTGTACATCAATTTAAATTAATGTTAATTATTAGCAACTAAGCTATCAATCTATTTTTATATATTTAAAAGCAAAAAAAATTAATATTTTAATAAAGGAGTATGATTTTTTTTTCGAAGTTATTAATGAACTTATTGATCCATAGGAGAAAAAAGTTTCTCTTATTAAACTTAAACAAACTTAATTTAGAAAAAGAAAAACTCAAAGTCCTTATCATCACCAATAAATATGACTTTAAGTCTATCTTTAAATGGTTAGAAAAACTATCACAATTCAGGATCTCTAAGTAGAGAATAACAATCTCAAACAATAAAATAAGGAATAACAAGTTTACACTATTTTATTCTAATTAGAGGGAGAATTTAAGGAAGAACTTATAAAGAATAGTCACTCGGAACCTATTATTGCAAAAGGAAATAAGGAGGAAGAAATCTTAAGATTAATTAACTTGACTATTCAAAATTTTTATATTAATATCAAAATTACAGGAGAAGATTTTATTTTAAAAATCATGACACTTTTTGATACATGTGATGGCTTAAATTATATTTTAGAAGGATTAATCCCAACAAAATATTTTTTTTAAAAAAAACCTCTAATGATCTTTCTCTATCACAGGAAATCAAAAATATCAAGTAGAAACTTATTTCTTGTCAACCAAGAATCACAAGAACAAAGTCATTTTGGAAACGCAAGATTTCTTCACAATAAACTTAGTGAAGAAATCTCTACTTAATATTTTGAAAGACAAGTAGTCTTTTAATTTACCACAAAAGTAATTATCAAAACTTTCAATTTTATCCATCACAAGTCTAACCAAATCTACTTTATAAAATAATAAATTTCTTTTAAAACAATTCAATCTCAACTAGAAATATCCCACTTCTTCCAAAAGAAGATTATAAATTTTCTTAAACAAATCCATTCTACCATATGTTTTGATCTTTCACATGACTTTTGAAATAGAAATAGCATTTTGTTAACCTACCTTATGAAAATAATTAAAAAAAAAAAAATCCTACCCAAGCAAAACAAATTCAAATAAATGAAGAACTCATCCAATATTGTCAGAAAGAGAGTAAAAACCTTTTAAACAAAAGACTTATTAGAACTATTAAGGGTTTGTAATCCTACTCAGCCTTCTAAGTTAACAAATAGCCTAAACTAGAAAGAGGAAATCCTCAACTAGTTATTATTTACAAACCTTTAAATCAATCATTACAATGGATTACGTATCCTATTCTTAATAAGAAAGATTTCTTTAATAGGTCATATTTTGGCAATATCTTCTCAAAATTTGATATGAAATCAGGATATAGACAAATTCAAATCCAAGAGTTTGATAGGTTTAAAATTGCATTTAGTGTTCCTTTTGGGCATATTAATGGAATGTAATGTCACATGGTCTTAAAAATGCCCCAACTAAATTTTAGAAAATTATTAGCAATATCTTCAATCCTTTCTCAAAATTTGCTATTGTTTATATTGATGATATCTTAAATTTTTTTCTCAATATATAGGGTTGTTCATCAAAATGACTTGATAATATCTAGCTCAAATTTTTAATCTTTTTAAGACCAAAATTAGATTTCTTAGTCACATAATTCATCAAGGGACAATTAGCCTTGTAAGTAAATCACTAGAATTTGCTGACAATGATTTCAAATCAAATTATTGACAAAAATTAACTCTAAAGGTATATTTTGTCATATTTTATTAGTTGCTAATGTATATTTTGTCACTTATTTGCTTCCTTTTCACATAGTTTGTACTTTAATTCCATGTAATTTATATTTTAATACATTTAAGTTCATGTCATTTAAATTTAGCAACTTTATCCTTAATTTTGTTAAATAATAGAAGATATTTGATTTACTTCTCTTGTGTGAATTTTCTTCAGGGCAAAGGCTTAATGAGATGTTCACATTTATAATTTTATTGTGTCTTTAAAATATCCTTCATATGCCTTATTTTGAAAGATTTTACCATTTCTCATTGATAGAAATGATTTGCGTTTGTTTTGCATGAATGTTGTAATTTTCTATTTTCAGCTAATTTGATCTCTATCAACTCTTTTGGCTATAACTTTTTCTAAAGATATTATTTTTGACTGATTCCAGTTGCATTAGATTCTATACATATGGGACTTCAAAATGCATATATGGTTTGTTGGATTTGGAGTTTTTTTTCCTATTTTTTATAATTTTTTGAAGATGAGTTAGATTTGCTAAAGTCGTCAGGAATTTCAAATCTCACTCAAGTGAAAATTACCTCGCTTAAGCAAAAAATGCAGAATTCACACCATATTTCTTGTTGGTTTTCTCGCTTAAGTGAGAATGGACCTCACCCGAGCAAGAATTAGCTTGCTTGACTGAGAAATCCTGCAACAAACTTTGCTCTTGAGCTGTTTTTCTCTTGAGCAAGAATTAGCTCGTTTGAGCAAAAATTCACTTATTGCCCTACAAAAATAAAAGATTCAACTCGAAAAGAGAGAGCCGAAGTGGGCTTTGAAGCCCAAACATATCATTGATCTAATTTTGGGAGTGTAGAGCAAGAGAAGTGTGGGGAAACAATTACATCATTGGGGAACTAATTTCTATCCCTGTCTCATGTATTTCCTTATTGTTTTATATGTCATGAATGACTAGAACTCTAGGGATTGAATGTAATCTTCATACTCTGAATGTTTTAGTATTTTTAATATATATTTGTTCATTTGCCATGAGTTGGGTGTGTTTATTTTGTGTTTGTTTATACCCTACGGGGAATAATTCATGATCTGGGACCGGGGTGAGTTGGAAAACTACCTTGGAAGCTAGTTAGGGTAAATACATGCAATAAAAATCTAAACCCGTTATCTCAAAATATAAAATAAAATTTCAACCGTCATCCAAATGGAACCTGAATTGTGGGATAAGTCTCCATACAATATTCTTACCAAGGTTTTCCATAAGGATTCCAATTTAGGCCTTCAACAACAAATAAAATTAAGCATTTTTATAAATTTATTTTAATAGATTTTGAATCTATATCTATCAAACACTATAAGAACCAAAAGATCCTTTAATCACCACCTACTTGACCATTCAAATTTTACAAGTTTTAACATGAAGTTGATATGGCAAAATCCAAATAATATTACAAAATTTTTCCAAATATTTGACCCAATCAATTATAATTATTGAAATTACAAAGATGTTTGAACGAAAGTTTTTTGATATCAAAACAAATCTAACCGTTATTCTTAACTAATTTATTTTAAGAGAAATCACTGATATCATTTTTTAAATTAGTTCATTTAGTGATGAGACTTCTTTGGACTTCTGACGTAGACAAATGGTTCAAACTTTTCACTAAGATGTATAATTTGCAGGCTTCATGAATTTCTCTTAATTTGAAATTTTTCTCAAGATTTTTGCCAACATAGGTAATCTAATGGCAATGTAGGTATAGGCAAAATGAACATCGTAAGTTTTTCTTAAGAGAGTTAGAGAAAAA